ATGGTTCAGAACGGATTAACCTTATTTACACTGAACCTTATGGGAAAATTTGATTTGGTTCGCGACCAGAATCGTGGAACAAATTAAGTTTGTGAACCGAGATACCACTGTACATATATACATATATACATACATACATGCATACATACATATATTCACATCCTCCTCTTCCTTAAGCTTCAGAATTATAGCAAAAATACTGTTTTTCAGAATATTCTCCAGTATAATTTCATTACTTTCCTAGAATGAAAGAAAACCTACGATTCAAGAAACATGTTTGTTTTTCAGTGATGCAGACAATTCTTTGAATCACTGACTCCTCTGTTATTATTAAATTAGCTATAATTATTATGCTTTCTGTTTCTCATCTTTGGGGAGTTCAAGTGACTGTGTGCAAAAATACAAAGCAAGGCTGGGGAAAAAATTATAAATAGTCCTTATTCTTTTCATGGCATGTGCTTTAGGCCAACAGGGCTCTGATAACCTCATCTCCGATTCTTATTCTGTAGATTTTTCCCCCTGTAATTGGCTAAGTAAGAAACTATTTCAATGAGGTTTTGCCACCCAAGGATATTTGGACAAGAATGTCAGAAAAGATAATGTCTTCTCTCCATGGAAAACATGAAATATGGAAATATTTCTAATTTTTGGATTCATGTTACTCCCTCAGGTAGTTGGTAAGAGGCGTACTGTGCAGTGTTCCATCAGAGACCCTATTCCTATACTTCACAAGTATTACGAACCAGGGGATCTTATAATTGGGGGCATTATGTCCCAGATTTATGTATTTTCAGATGCCATGAACTTTGACGAACATCCATCTCAGAACATTCCAAGTGGTCTTATGTAAGTAGCTAGACTTCAAAACAAAACCAAATATATCAATGAATACATTATTGTCTTCACCTTGCTGTTGCTCCCATTGTTTCCATTGTTACTTGATAGCCAACATTCCTCTCATGAGGTGGTTCTCTTTTAGCTTTTTAGAAAGCCTAGAATATTTCTTTCCATCCACTGTAGTTAATAAGGGAGACTAACATGAATATTCTCTAGTGTCTGTGCTCAGAAGCTAAACAATCAGGCTTGGTTAGTAGTTGAATGAGAGACCTCCAGCAAAGGCAAGGCCTATGAATCAGGCTGGGAAATAAACAATAGGAATAATAATGATAATAATATTAAGAAGGAGGAGTCAGTTAGTCAAAGGTAATTCTGCTTTGACTCTCAACTTGCCTTGGAAATGGTCATCGTTTGGTGATAGGACATTTCCTTTGCACACCCAGTATTTTAGATTTAATCTTTGACATCTTCAGCCTGAAAATTGAGCATGCTACTGCCAGTCACTGTGGATCAGATTTATCTTGATGGAAAATGGTCCAACTCAATATAAGACAGCTTTTTATCCTTCACACTGTCGGTTTGCCTGTTTCTATTGTATATGAACAAACAGAAGTTTTGTTAGATTACTCCAAGATGAATACCTCTTCAGTATAATGATATATAAGATTGCTTAACAGATTAGCCTACATTTATATCTTTCCCAATCCTCACTACATCTCTTGGGATACAGGAGGTGTAGATGATAGTCACCAGATAGATTGTACACTTAAAGCTTATTTCATGGTATAGCATGGACCAACTGTCGATAATAAAACTTTCCATTAAAAAATAATAATAAATCAACTTCTTAGACTCAGTCAATGGTAACTGTGTAAGGGAACCTCTTTCAATTTGGTGAATATCAAGATCTGCTAAGATTATAATGGCCCTCAAGCCATAACTCAATACATTGGAGCACAGCAAGTTGAAAAAGTCTCCAATTAATGTATGTACTGTATAGTTCCAGCTTTTATGGCCTCCTCTTTCGCTACCTGGCATTAATGGATAAATCTCTCATTAGGCGAGAAGCCCCATCATCTTTCTAAAGGAGATTACATCAGGCCCTTGGGATAGTTGAGAATCTTTGTGTCTAAGGGTTAGTTATAGGGTTATAGGGTTAAGTTATACTATCAGAGCTGTTTGAAGATTTTTTTTTTTCAATCCTACACCCCATGTAGTATGCTTAGTTGAGAAGGCTTGGCTTAGGGGTGAGTAGACTTAGAAGACATGGACCATTTCTATATACATTCTTAAATGCATCGGTCGCACTTATGGATGATCTCTGGAGGGAGGGGATGGTGGAAGTGCGACCATCCTTGCTCTCCTTGATCTCTCAGTGGCTTTTGATACCGTCGACCACAGTATCCTGTTGGGATGACTCAGGGAATTGGGGGTGGACGGCACAGTATTGTGCTGGTTCACCTCCTTTCTTCAAGGCCGAAGTGATGCCATGACTGCCCTCTTGTGGTGCCTGGAGGCTGTGAGGGTCTGGATGGGGAACAACAGGCTTCAGCTGAACCCTGGAAAGATGGAGTGGCTGTGGGTTAATGG